GTCCAGCCTGTCGCCGTAGGGGGCATGCGCTGGAGCCCTGGGGCTGCTCCTGAGGAGGGAAGAAAACCCGGTGTGTGAAAAACCATACTGATTTTTGTCCCACCGAACAGGCGTATCGTCATTCTTATTTACAAAAAAGTCTGCTCACCTTAGCGGAGAACAAAGCACAAATGTAATTCATTGGTGTTAAAAATCCACTGGCCAAAATTATTCACACACAAATCCATTAATTCTTTCAGTCCGAGTTTTATTTCAGCATTGACGCTTTCTCAAAAAATAAAAGGGATTTTATCCCTCAATCTTCACAACGTGGGTATAAAACCAGATCTATTTAAGATGACTTTACAACAAAATAAAGATGAGACACTACCTCCAGAGGTGAGGCACTTGTAGCATTTACAATAAAAAAGCAGGTCAGGCCAGCACCAACTGTCCCTTACTCGCTGCGCCCCTCTCACATTTAAATACCAATAGCAGGTAACGCACGTTTGCTGTCCTGCGATCTAAAACAAAACACACTTTTGATTATTTTTGATTGATTTTGATCCAGTGAAGTCCATAATCCTTTGACGTTAAAAGACTGTATTGTCCTTTCTAAAGGGAGAAGTGGAAGCCGATTCAAACGGTCTGCTTTTTAAAAGAAGAGAATCAGCTTTTGCAAGACAGTTGGGAGTGAACGCGCAGAGAATCTGGTGCATCCCCTTCTACAGCGGCAGCAAAGCTGCCTACCTTTTAGAGTGGTAACAGATGCTATTAGGATTCCATGTACATGGTCACATGCTTTAGGATTTCATGTCAAAATTTATTTACAGCAATTCAGCACCACCTGCTGGCATGACTTTTTTTTTTTTTAAAGTAGTCTAGAAGGTGTAGTGGTTTGTTTTTTTAATTGGTATACTTTCTTAGGTGTCCTTTGAACAGTCAGAGATTTTTCTACATTAAACCCGACCCACTGCAGATATTTTGGATCCTTTATGGAGGAGGGATGTCACCTCAGAATTAGAATATTTAAATCTGCAAATGAAATCATATAGAATAACATTATCTCCTGCCATGCTACAAAAAAAGTAGTATTTTAGCTAGCAGCTCCAGTAATTTCTCTGTTCAGTTCGTATAGCTCCTAGCACATGTATCAGCCTTAAAAGATGGCTACCAGCATTTCTGAGAGACTTTCAACCCCTACAACACTCTTTCTTCTTCTCAACACTCCCCAAACCCCAACTAGTTCTTTTTTTCCTGGCATTGGTCTGGCTCACCATCCTCAAGTCAACAAAGAGGCTGACATTCCCCACAATTACTCCCTTCAGTTTATGATTTGAATTTGCCAATTCCTTAGTTACTTCCACAAGGATTACAGTTTTCAAGGGACTTTTGCCAGCCAATGACAAGTATCCACTTGATCACACTTTTCTTGCTTTAAATGTCAATGATGACAAAGACTTCTGGCTTTTCGTCTTCACAGATCTGCATTGCCGAGTAAGTTATGGCTTTGACCTCTGTGCCCTAGAGAGAAAAGACACAAAAACGTGGGTTTTCTAAATGACATCCCTCGTAGCAGTTCATGATAATACACAGTATTTACCACCTTCTACAAATGCTATCCAGTTTAATAGTTTTTCTCCCCAAAAAGCTGTAACTGTATTTGTTCCAATGAATAAGAAAGTTGGCATACTAATGGCAAGACTTGGCCAGGCCAAACAGTGAGTAAGTAACTCTTCCCGTATTTTACTGCCTCTTGAATACTACAAATTCCTCCTCTTACCTCTGACAGAACATCAACGTTTGCTACGCTAATACTGACACAGCTGGCGGGGAGATAAGGATTCACTCCTAGTAATTCTTTGGGGGGGGGGGGGGGGGGGGGATAAAAAAAAAAAAAAGCAAAAAGCTGTGATAATAGTGTGAAAACCAAACCCATGTACGCATTCCGAATATAGATTGGTTTACTGTGTTACCAGTGTCACAAAAAAGGAAGCCAACTGTTGAGTTTTGCTAGTGCTGAGGAAGCATCAGATGCTCAGGTCAACAGTTTCAGGAACATATTTACAAAAACCAGGCAGAAAGTGAGATCTTAAGTATAGTGCCTGTGACACCATTCAGATGTGTTTATACTTGGATCTCTTGAGAACTTAGAGGACTGATTTAGAAGACACCACCCCTCCCCATCCTACCCCTAAAAGGTAGGTGTACAGATGAACCACTGCATACCTGAGGGTGTTTGGGTAAACAGAACTCTTCTCCCCACCTTTAAAGGCAAAAAGAAGAGAGGTGGTTGGAATTTTGGTAATATTTATCAAATGTTATAACTTGTTTCAATGATGAGCATAGGACAGCGAGACTTTCATTTAAAGCCTCAAAGGAACTAAAAAAGCAGCCCAAAATCCACTTCTTAGAAAGCATCAGTGAACTCTGGCACATCAACGGTATTTCAGAGTGGTGACTGAAGGCAATGTGTGCGTTTTCAGTGAAGATATTCATTACTCAAATGATCGTTTAAGCTCACCCAATTGATCTTATTTTGAATTGCATTCGGTCAATGTAAAGCACTTTCACCTCCTGCAGGGAAATCAAGAGGAGAAATATGTCAGTAACATCTTCTATCTATCAGGCAGAAAATCTCAGTAAATCCCATTTACAAGGGTTATACTCCACTGTTTAAATGGAATCTAAAACCAGAGAATCTGAGTGGCCTCAAAGAGATACACTGCTACTTGGAACACGAAAGCAGCAGAGCTGCCCCGACCTATAATGGCAGCTAATGGTTGGTGTTTGTGATAACAGAGCTTAACAATTTGTCTCTAGAGTCCTTCTGCCCTGGTATCTTCAATTCTCCCTGTGTTGTGCTTAAGTGATCTGTTGTGTCCCGTTTTTTCCTGAAGTAACATTGCATTCAGAGCTGGTATTACCAGAGAATAGCCTCGACCTACACGTGGAAAAAGAACAAAACGGAACACTTACCCTGGGTATAAAGAACTCATTAGCACTGAATTTATACAGCCACTCGTCCAAGAAGTGGAAAAGAAGAGACAACATGTCATGTCCTGCATGTTGAAGCAGAGAAGAGAGTCAGCTGACTGTCTCAGCAAGAACACTCAAACGTTTTTAAGAGTACATCAGATGTACAGCTTCTGCACTATTAGAAGATTCAGATTAGCGATGCTTAATTAGATTTTAATTAACTGCAACAAAACTACATCTAAAGATTCAAAATTTTGGTACTCTTCTTCCTCAGGGTTCATACAGTTCCAATATAAAAAGTCAACACAGCCTCACCTTCTGCCTCTACCTCTACTGTATCCACAGGTTCCACGGTCTCTGTATCAGTCATGTAGCCAAACATGGCCATAACGCACTGCTCAAACGCTTCTTCCAAAGTGTCTCCCCAGGCATGTAGCCTAAAAAGACACGGGATAATTTACCAGACCATAACAACAACAACAAAATAATCCCAAAGTAATATGCAGGTGAGAAATCAGAACGTGAGAATTAATGCAGAGGAAGTGAATGAACAAAAATACTTGCTTTTCTGTACCTACACATTTGGGCAGATTACAAGAGATTTTCCTTCTTGTGGTTTGTGAGAAGAGTTTCTTGGGAGAATATGGAAAGTGTGTGTTTCACCAGACAACAAGAAAGTTCTTTCCTAATATGGCTAATTGATGTCTATAAAAGTGAACTACTCAGAAGAAATTTGGTTTAAAAGGAAGAGATTAAAAGGAGATTTCAAAAGACATTTCCAAGTAACAGAGGCTTAATCAGAAGCACCACAGGAGTATTACATTAGAAAAGAAACCAAACGTGATTCTACGCTCTCCCAAGAGCAGAAACAAAATTGACCGTCAAAAACCCCAGTGTGCGACATTTCATAGTTCCATAAGGTGTACATCTGCAACCAGTCTTCGACAGGTGTTCCAGACTTATGTAAGTGTAAGAAATACAATTTGCCATATTGAGAAATCCCAGCTGCCCATACTTACTGCACATCTGCTGTGTGGTCCAAATCTGAGGGGGAAGGAAAAAGAAAAGGCATGACATCACCAAACATATTTTAAAAATGAGGATTAAAGAAAAGGAAATCAGATACCGTTGTTGTAACAAGAACTTTTTGCATTCATTTTCAGATGTGAATCAGTGATAATCTATTTTCCAGTATATTAGAAAAAGTTAGCACAGGTGGAATCTTGGATTATTTCTGCCAAGCAGAAAAAGCGTTTAATATAATTATGTCAGTGCCCTACGTGTACAGCACTGTGTGCAAGGTATGGCTGTCGTAACACAACAGGCTTCTACAAGTTAACTGCAATAAAAAGAAACTTTAACCAGGAGTAAAAAGTTTTTGCTGAAGTCTGCAGGACTGAAAATTATTCACGCAGAGGGTGAGATTTGCAAATATTTCCAGCTCAGTGAACAAATATACCTGTCCACACCCAAAAACACCCATTATGCAAAAAGGAGAACTTGAAAAAAGTATGTAATAGAAAATAGAAGGCAATCTTCACTAAAAAGGTACGATTAACATCCCAACCATGTATCAAGTTTTACATGAATATAATTTATATTCATTTACAGGAATGAGAGAAATGCAAAATGATAGCAGGTTGGCAGAAACAGAGCTAACCTGGGGTGTAAAATAAATGCCAAGTCACGATCACTCTAACTGAAAGATTGTTCCGATGCTGTTTAGATCGTTCACACACTATTAATGGATTCTCAACAACGGTCTCTAAAGCAAACAAATTCCAGTGGATGTAAAAGAAGAATAAACCCTCTTCCCGTTATGGAAACAGTGTGACTATTGTAATATGTCACCATATTTCTGCACTGCTATCACATAAAGATCTGAACGCATCCTAAAAATACGTATTCTAACAGAGTAATAGACACTGTCCCTCCAGACAGACACTGCTGAAATAGAAAACAGTCAGACACTGGTGTCCTGTGAGCGCCTTAAACTAGCCCTTGGGCTGCCAGCCACTTGCTTGACATGTTCTTAGAAGACATTCCAGGGGTGGGGAAACGGAGAGATACTGATCTTTCAGTAGTGCACGTAGGAGAAAAAACACCACGCAGAAGACCAACACGCTCTTGAACATCAACTCCTATATGAGAGGCAGAAAAATGTACTCCCTTGCTAAGAAGTAGCTTGAAAGGGGAAAGTTTTCGAGGTGAGACTTAACTAATTTATTTCTATCATGATTTCTTTAGCACCTATAAAGAAGGCATTTATCTGCGATAAAGAAAATTGTAGATATCTCATGTCTATTAATTCAACTACAGATGTATCCCACAGTCCAAACACATACGATACCGGCGTATTAAGAAACCCCACATGTGCCTAAAAGGCATATCCTGCTATCTTCCTTCCCCTCCCTCCCCCTCCTGACTGTACTGTCACACGTACGCTGCATCAGGACAGCGTTAGAAATACTCACATTCGTACTTCTTATTGAGCGGTGGGTATTTGGCTTTGACCGCCTTCTGCTCCTCCGTCAGGTTGTAGTCCCTCTCATCGGCTGCCATAGCTGCTGGGCTTGAGCAACACTCACTCACTTCCTGGTGGTAGGAAACATGGCCACCTCCGCGAGTGCTTCAACCCTGCCAGGCTTCCCAGGCGATGCTGCGGTAGAAAAGGGAGAGCTGCCTCTCAGTTCAGTTTTTCACTTGATAGCAGTTTGGCAACTGCTTGTACACAGGCTCGGATATTCAAAACAAGATACTAAATGCATGTCATTCAAGCTGTTTGCTGTCAGAACTGTCACTGGGAGACGGGGGAAGTTCGGAGTTCAATCCTACACCGCTTGCCTCATCAACTGATACGAGTTATGTTTGGCCAGTGAAGCCAAGGGATTACAGTCCTTACAGAAAGCGTGGACTTTGGCCTTTTCTGGGAAGAACCATGTTTCTTCCTCCTCGTTGTGTACACCACCAAGCATTTCATTCATCCTCAAATAATAAAATACAGTAATAATGAAAAATAACGAAAACAGCTGTAAAGTGAATTAAACTTTCATGCTTCAGGTAACTTCTACTGAATTTTACAGCTGAGGGTACTCAGCCCACTAGTACATTACACAGCAAGCTGAAATATGCATTGCCTCCAAAACCCTAGATGTGACCTTACACGTGATTTTTCTTCAGGAAAAAAAAAGTCTAGTTTTCTCTTAGGCCAGGGATTGTATTTAAGCCTTCAAACCTAGAAGCAGATACGACTGTCACACAAGTGCAGAGGTTTTCCTCTGTTCCTTTTCTTGCAGAATGTGGGGTTTTTTTTAATTAAAAAAAGCCCCAACCAAACAGTGAACTATATCAAATCCCCATTTAAAAGTCTAATTCTCGGACCAGATCTTAGTAGTTGCTGTTTCATGCAAGCTTTCATTTGTAAATCTAACAGACACAAATTGGAGAACCTGATTAAGTTCGGGCTAATTAATTTTCCTCAGACGAGACCTCCCCAGATTTCCAGATATAATAACCATTCTCACTCTTTCTTCATTTTTTTGTGCGTTGTAAGATTTATCCACAGCTGAACCCAAGACTTCCCCAAATAATGCAAGTGCTAGATTTATAGATAGCACGTAACATCATCAAGACTGCTTTTAAACAGGAGTGGTTCTTACTCCGAGGCTTAGAAACAAGACTACACAGAATTCCCAGTTTCTACTTTCTAAGCATCCAGGTATGTTGCAAAGAGAGGTCCGAAATTGAGAAGCCAGTGCTCCTCTTTGGGAACAAACCCAGTTGAACACACATTTTGATTTTGAACCGGTTAAGCCTCGACTGCGGACAGCCCGATCCAGGACTGCTCACCCCGCGTTACCCACAGCGGGCCGATCGGAACCAGCTACGTACTAAGGAGGGCTGTCTGCAAAGCTCACCGCTGCACTGAATTAGGGAAAAAGGGAAGTTATTAGTGATTATAGACAAATAAAAACCCAAGAAGCAAGTTGAGGATACTCCGAAGATTTCTGGGCAGCCCTGTGAGGAGGGAGGGCCGTGAGGACCGGGCCTCGGCCCCACGCACGCACCGGTCTGGTCCCGTTCGGTCCCGACACGCTCTGCCCACCGCTGTGGCGACCGAAGGAAACCGCGGACCGCAGCCACGGGCCTTCCCGCTCCCAAACCGGGGCCTCACCCAAAAGCCGCCCCCAGCCGCGGCCGCCACGCAGCC